TTGCTGATGTTTGTGATGTGAAAGTTTTATTGCCACTAAACTGCAGACGTCTGGCTGATATTCTACTGATCCACTCTGAGGATCTTCATGGTAAAGACTTTTATTCCTCTGCTTTGGTCATATTAAAGCTTCTTTGGTTTTTATTAATAATGATATGAAAACCTGCTGATAAAGAGGAAGACAGAGGAAATTAAAACTCTGATGTCATTTAATGTTTTTAATCTGTATAATGATAAATCAGCCCTGATTCCTTCATTTTGTGAGATCGGTGATCGGCTGATGTTTCCACATGAAGCTGATCTTTTCCTCCTCAGCAAAGCTCTAAAAATCTTCCTCTGTCCTCTTCTGCTCTGCAGTGAGTTTGACTGACAGACCCACCAGGTCAGGCCTCCATGTTTATAGTTAACAATAGTTTCCCTGCTGTTAGCAACTCTATGATTTTATGGTTCTGCAACATTTCAGACAAACCAACCAGAATCAGCAGGTCAGGCTTTTTAAAGATGGATGATCCACCAGAAAACTGCAACCAGTTCACCTCGACTTTAACACCTTTATGAAATCAGTTTTTCCTGCATTTTCTACAGATTGACTTTGTAACAGTTCAGTTTATAATCTGATAATAATCTGATATAATTCAGCTGAAAGTCAAAGTTCATATCTTCTGTTGTAATAAACATTTTGCTGAGTTTGTTCCTGGACTTGGAGCCAGAGATTAATTTAGTCTCTGAGTTGGACCGGCTGATCTGAGGTCAGAACCAGACGGCATTCGGACCATAAATCCCCTCATGTGGAGCAGGTCAAAGGTCATTCAACCCAGTCTAGAAAAGTTAATCTCAGCTTCTGGAATCTGACAGGAACAAATCTATAATCAATGATTGATGCTTCAAAATTAAAATCCACCAACTCATCATGACCCAGTACCAGGTTCTGGTTCTGGTTCTGGTTCAGCTCCTACAGTCAGTTTGACATTAAATCTTCTCCATGACTTCATGTCTTTATGGCTGATGAATAATTAAAATAGTTGAATTTCTCTGCATTAATCTCCATCAGCTGGTTTTTCCTCCTGATTGTTAGTTTGTGTGAAACTTGACTGATTTGCTGCAGAAGCTGAGTTTGTAGTGATGGAGCTGCT